CTGCACGACACTTATCGGTATCAATGCCGTGTGGTATTTCAAGGTCTAGCACTCGCGATCGGAATTCTAGCTCGCCGCGCATGATCCTTAATCCCGTGCTTGCTATTTTCATTACAGCATAGCGACAGTGGATTATGACGTGCATTGCTCACTACTCATGTCAAGTGCATGGCCACAACACGACACACCCGATCCGCCTTTAAAGCATGTCATTACACCGACAAATATTTCAAGTTCGCCCACCTCCTCAGCTCTTCGCCCCTCCACCCACGGTCCCCTCCGTGGTCCCCGATCCGGTTCGGTGACTCATCCGCTGTTCATTCACGCCCGCCGCGTCAGCGCCATGGTAATGAGTCAGGGCCATGCTTCTCAGCGTCTGTCAACAGTTATCGGACATCACTGCCTCGTTCGCACCAACCAGAGCCTGACGTACACGCCACGTCCTGCCATCCACCCTGACAGCTCATAGAGACATACTAGCGGCCCTGGTCCCGCCCGCGGTGGAGATCGCGGTCCGAGCAGGACGAGGTGGGGGCGAGAATCGGTCGGCATCAGGACCCGGCTGCTGGTCTGGAGGTGGTCAGCATCAGACATCGCTGCCGGTCTGCGCGTGGTCAATATATCGCTGCTGGTCTACAGGTGGTCAGCATCAGACATCACCACCGGTTTGGAGGTGGTTAACATCAGACATCACTGTCGGTCTGGAGGTGGTTAACATCAGACATCACTGCCGGTCTGGAGGTGGTTAACATCAGACATCACTGCCGGTCTGGAGGTGGTCAGCACCAGACATAACTGCCGGTCTGGAAGTGGTTAACATCAGAGATCGCTGCTGGTCTGGAGGTGGTTAACATCAGACATCACTGCCGGTCTGGAGGTGGGTAACATCAGACATCACTACCGATCTGGAGGCGGTCAGCATTAGACATCGCTTCTGGTCTGGAGATGGTTAACATCAGACATCACTGCCGGTCTGGAGGTGGTTAACATCAGAGATCGCTGCTGGTCTGGAGGTGGTCAGCATCTGACATCACTGTTGGTCTCAGGGCGGTCAGCATCAGACATCGCTGTTGGTCTGGATGTGATCCGTATCAGACATCGCTGCTGGTCTGGAGGTGGACAGCACCACACATTGCTGCTGATCTGAAGGTGATCAGCATCAGGCATCGCTGCTGGTCTGGAGTTGGTCAGTATCAGACATCGCCGCTGGGTTGACTCGGGCCGGTGGAGTAATCAGGCGATCTTATTACGCCAGCTCTGTGTCGAGAAAGCCGTTTAACTACCGTATGCCTGTCGGAGCGGCAGAATTTATGCCGTCGAGCCCAGCGGGCCAGCGCCTCTCGTAAAGCGCCGCCAAATTCGTCAACCCCTCTTTAGTGAAGACGTCATGTGCCTGCGTAAAAACACAATAAACGGCCGAACAGCCGTGCAAAAAAATCCGAGCAAAAAGAGACTCGATTGAAAGTGTCCCCATAAAGTGGGCATGTGGGAACAATGACTAGAGGCACGCCTCTGTGTGAATGATTCGCATTCATGGGACTGAGCAGCGGTAAATAGATGCTGATCAAAGCGCTGGATGGAGATCACGTGACGCCAGCCGATCAGACGTGGCTGGGGTACCCGCCTGGACCGGCAGGCTCGGAGACACGCTCCTCGCTGGCACTGAGGGATACCCATGGGGTGCGGTCATCGGACGACGGCCAGTGCTCGGCTGTGTTGCCGTTAGTCTTAGCGTCCGCCATTATTCGGCGGCGTCGCTGTTCATCCCACCCTCACGCTCGGCGCGCCATTGATGGGATATTCGCGTCACTTGTCGAGAGCGTCTCCACTTTGTCCCAGCGTCCGAGGACGTCTCCAGACAGCGGGAGCAGGACGGGCACGCCTCTGTCCGAGGAAGTCTCTAGACAGAGGAGCGGGACAGACACACCTCTGTCCGAGGACGTCTCCAGACAGCGGGAGCAGGACGGGCACATCTCTGTCCGAGGAAGTCTCCAACCTCACGCCCCGTCACGCCTCTGCTGCTCAGAACAGCGCAGTCGTGCTGCGGCGCTAAAACATGCCGCTTGTTTGCGATAGACGCCGCCCTGACAGTCGATTTGTTCACGCTCGGCTATCGTTATTCATGTCTCAGCAGTTGGCTCGGTAGGCGGCTGTGTCCGTTTGACGCCTGCGCCGCCAAACTGTGTCCGTTTGACACCCGCACCGCCAAACTGGTCCCGGCAAAAAGTGGAGCAGCAGCGGTCTGACTAATGTGTGCGGCTGGGCCGACACTGTTCGATGGCTATCAGAGACGGACTGCGAAACATTAGTCTCGGTCCTGATGCTGTCAGGCCGCGATAATGGGAGCCGGAGCGTACTGAGGAAAGAGGAAATTTCGGTTCGTAGTTGTTTGGACTGGTTACCGGCTGGTTAGGTCATGTACAACTGGGGTGAGAGATCAGTCAAGTAGAACTACGAACGGCAAAGCGGTAAACTCATGAATCTCATTGTTAACATCCACCAGTGCCCCGCCAGGTTTCTCCTGCTTCTTTTGACTCCCTGTGTGCCTTAAAAAGATGCAAATGTCCTAACTCTGTATGCTTGCTCTGTGCGTACTGTTGCTGTTTTACAAGCAAGCCTTCAAAATTGTAGAAAATCAAGTACAAGCCTTCCAAATTTGCTTGTGTTGATCCAGGCATTTCGACAGCACGAGCCACGAAATATCAACACTCCATACCGACATACCAGACCATGCCCTCTTGCCAGCATTCAAGAGCTCTCGACTCGCAGCATCTTCATGACAAACCATCCCCATGACGGCCAGGTTTTCACGGGCGTGTTTTCCTTCTCCGAAGCAAAACAAACATCGCCAGTGATGTGGCGGAGCACGCTCGTCGACCGGATCGGCCAACAGGTACAAAACCCCACAGCAAACAGCTCCAGAAGACCGGCGCTGGAGCTGGTGCTGGAGAGAGCTGCGGCCGGCGAGCGGGGCTGAGCGGGGCGCCTCTCCTGAGTCAACACACGCGCCGCCGGACGAGCCGAGCCGCCCGCCCCGGCCCGACGCCGCCATTGTCATGGAGAAACGCGGCCTGCTCCGAATGCAGGACGGAGGCGGGATTGAGACGGTTTGCCCACAGTACAGTGAAAGTTTAAATAGGTTTGAACGTGGTTGATGCCAGAAGGCGGTCAGCCGCCACATGCATTTTGATGGAGTGGAGCGGTTCGGCGGAGGTGAAATTCCCCAAAACAAAATCTCACCTATAAGCTTGTAGATGATTTGAAAATCCTATATCAGTTTAAGCCTGGTATTACACTGCTTGCATTAAGTGCATTTTGTTGGCCACAAAATGATGCGTTTCTTTTCGATGTGATATCACCTGTCGGTTCTTTAACCTTATGCCGTTTCCATTTTAAATTGGGAAAACAAGCGAATTTTCCATGTAGAAATGGAACAAAAATATTTTTAGAAGAGTTGTTTTAACTGTAGCGCACCAAATATCTCTTAGGGAATCTCGAGCGTGCAGCATGCCTTATTTAAGGACACCTCATTTTATTATGCGGTAATCGACTGCATTATAAACGCAGCACTTTTAATTAAGACCGATAAAAGCGGTGGTGATATCATTCAATATTTTGAAGTGGTTTATTTCAACACCTTCTGCCTTGGGCTATGTTCCACAGCACCCAAGTTGATGATCGCATTTCGTTTGATCTTGCATAAATCACGGTTCTCAAGAGTCCATGAAGCCACACCGCGCTCAGCTACGTCAGAGAGGTGTGCTGCTATTCCCTGCCACTCCGCCACCGGTTACCTGAGGTCACCTGAAGTCACCTAAGATCAACTAAGGTCACCTAAGATCAACTAAGGTCACCTAAGATCAACTAAGGTCACCTAAGGTCACCTGAGGTTACCTGAGGTCACCTGAAGTCACCTAAGATCAACTAAGGTCACATGAGGTCACCAGAGGTCAACTGAAGTCACCTATGCCATGATTTACAGACTTCCTGATCTCGCTCGCTCGTACAAACACCGTCTCAGTGGGTACTCGATCAGCCAGACTGCTTCATCGACCAGCTGCGGTTTCTGTAAATACCGAGATCACGCACGCAGGCCGCCGCCGGCGGGCGATCGTGTCTCGGTGCAATGAGCGGCACGGCGCTCTGTGGACGCGGCGCCGGCGCGGCCCGAGGCCCGGCGCGTCGCGGCCCGCCGAGGCCGCCGGCCGCTGCTCGATGGCTCCTGCGTGAGGCGTGAGGCGGCGCCCAGGGTCGCGCTGAGCACGCCGGACGGCGGACGGCCCGCCAGCGCGGCGATGCCCACACCCCGTCCGTCACGAGGCGCCGGCAGCCGGCAGACGACGACCTCGGCTGCGCCGGTGGCCAACTGCAGCGAATCAGAGCCGTCTCGGGCGAGGTGCAGTCTCCGTCTGCCGTCGATTAGCTGTGTGTTCGGCGGCGCGTTCCTTTTGATGTTAAACGGCGGCAGTCTTTTATGCCGGTATGCACGAAGCATTCCATTTCAGTTGACGATGAACCATATGTACAGCTGGTGAGAAACAAACCATAGGTGTTATTCAATGACGCCCCTCACGCATACCACACGCCGCCTGACAAGGCCCCACCCTTCTCTCAGTCTCAATGCCAGACTAACAAGCTCGTCCTCAGCCTGTCCGCCTCAGCCTCAGCCTGTCTGCCATGCTCGCCTGACCAATGTCGGCCAGAGGCGGACAACACGAGGCATCAGCGGCCGATAATGCGCTCTTTGTGGCAAGCGGGATGGTCTCACATTCATGAGTTACGCAAATCTGTAACAAAGCGTCCATTAGCCATCTCATGACCTTGAGATGGACATGGTCTGAAAGCACGCATTTTTGTGTTTGTTTGATACATGGGAATATTATTCAAACGGCATATGCCAACACCAAACGTCAGAAGACGAATATTTAGATTTATCGCACGCCGTTCACACGGGCATCTGCTGGTTACCTCCAGTGCAGCATCGCTTCACACATGCTTGGTTCATGGTGATCGCACATTTATTAGTCAGTACATGGTGACTAGGCAGCAGATATTTGCACGCTCTAACCTAAGAAATGATATGAGTATGTACACGTCGCGAGGCGTCATATAATCTTGCAACCGCAAAATTGCGATAATAATTCACAGAGATCGCGACAAACAATGAACGGAACTCACGTACACGTGCCTCTGGATTAGCCCCATGCCAAAACACCAGCAACAGGCGAGGTCCACACCATGCAGATTCGGCAGTCAACAAAAACAGCGTGCTTTTCTCACAACGCAGACAAACGAATCCAGACGACAGGCCGCGGCGCAGCGATGCACAACACAATGTCTGAAGGCGGGTATTTCTCGTCCGAACCGAGTCCCGCGACGTACTCGGAGTCCGCGAGTCCGCGAGTCCACGAGGACGCACGCTTCGCTCCGTCGCTTGGCGCCACTATGTACACAACACACGCCATCGCATGATCACAGCAGTGGTTTAACGCGCCACGTTCGCCTACACCTGAGTCACATTGCGCCGTTTTTTATCGCCGGCGATGGAGGCCCGCGAGCCGTGCTGGCTGCCGTCGGCCGGGTGGAGCCGCGGCTTGGGCAGCGTCGGGGGCGGCAGCCGACCGCCACGCACGCGCTGCGCCTGCACCAGCGAGTCCTTGTCGCTCGGCCAGCCGGCCGGCTCGCCCTCCGACAGGGTGTTGTTGTTGCGGGGACGCGGGTCGGAGGTGAGCGACATGAACGAGTCCGACGGCTGCGTGCTGACCAGCGAGCGGCCGTCGTACGTCATGTCCTCCCCGTACGGCGTCTGGTAGCTGTTGTAGCGCGCCCGACCGGCGCTCATGTGCGCCGCGTTCAGGTGCAGGTTGTTGCTGTAGTGGCCGTAGCTGCGCGTGTCCGGGCTGTAGCACGGCTCTGACGTGTTCAGGATGTTGGAGGCCGTCCACATGACGGGTGTCGGGCCTTCGGACAGGCTGCGCACCGCCTCCTCCTTTTCCAGGTCGTAGGCGATCTTGACGGGCGTGGGCTCGCGACTCTCCACGCTGGGCACCGTCACTGTGGTGATGTGCCGCGACGCGCCGGCGCCCGGGTCAGGCTTCCTGCGCCGGTAGCAGAGGAAGTAGTACAGTGCCAGCAGCACGATCAGCAGGACCACGCCTGCTACGCAAAGCAGCACGATCAGCAGCAGCTGGTTGTCAAAGGCCGGTGGCGTAGGTCGCACGGGGGACGAGGCTTCCGTGGGCGGCGGCGGTGAGGGTGTCGCGGGTGGCGGCGGCATCATCAGCGCCACCACGTTGGAGATGCGCGCCACGTTGCCGGCCTCGTCCACGCCGCGGATGGCGAAGAAAAGCAGCTTGTCGACGGTGTGGAAGTCGATGACGGCGAGGCTGGGCGTGCCGGCCGGCTCGGGCTGGCTCCAGTGGGGCACGCTGGTGCAGTCGGTGAAGTGGTCCCGCAGCTGCGCTCGGCTCTCCGAGAAGCGCACCTCGTAGTGCGACACTGGAGACGGTGGCAGGTGTTAGCGGGGTTTGCTGACACACCGATGACGCTCCGGGCGGCGAGGGGCGCAACATTTGATGACGCTTTAAATACTGTGGGACATGAGAACCCCCAAACCCGGAATGTCTTGGCGCATTGCAGATGCCATCGAATTCAACTCGCCCGTGTCGAATGACATAGTGAAAGCCGACAGGGCATTCAAAGCCGACCCAGGCATTCGCATCAGAAACAGTGACCTTGCATAACAGCAACGGTCGCAGCCTCACCTCTGGTGTCGGGTTTGTCGTAGTCGTCGCCGGGGGCTGACCAGCTGAAGGTGATGGTCTGCTCGGCGGCGTCCGTCTCGGCCCGCAGGTCAGTGATCCGGTTCGGCGGGTGGACGTCCGTCTGATAGTCGACGTCTCCGGAGACGAGGATCCCTCCGCCGGACGCCGACCTCCGCAGGTCAAACATGGGCACCGAAGTCACGTTGCCGACGGTGGAGCCGCAGCACGGCACCTGGCCGTTGACCGGGATGGCCCGCGGCTGGGTCAGGTCACGGCCGGTCACCACGCGGGCCCGCGACCCGCCCACCTCCACACGCACGATGAACAGCTGACTGGCCGGCGTCAGGGAGCCGAAGTCGGTGAAGTAGCGCGAGTAGATGCCGTCGCCGTGCAGAATGTCCGGCACTGAAACGACATACCGCTCCGTTAGAACTGATCTGCATGAGCTACCGAGGTTCGCGACGGCGTCATGCAGGATTAGTCTCGTGTAAACACCGTCCTCCCATTTAGGATGACATGCTGCGTTGTTGATGTTATACGCACTGCGGGCCTCGAAACATTCGACAGCCGTCCCTTTTAACAATATTTGCCTGTGCATGACAAAGACGGCATCAAGCACCTTCATAAAAAAACACCTCGAACATGGCCAGACCCGACAGATTCATGCGTCATCACATTATCATGATGGCGTTGAGCTGACGCGGAGTGCACCCCGTGTCGCCGGTCGCGTCCTACCTGCCAGCCCGTTGTCCAGCAGCTGGATGCGCACATCGTCCCCATCAGGGGCCCGTCACCGCGGCGTACACCTGGGCGTTCAGTACCGGAGCGCTGCCCTGCATCACCTGCACGAACGGCCAGAGGGGCGTTAGAAGACGGGAGACACGACAGGGGGCAGGCGTCAGGCGTGTCACATTCACGCGGTTCATGGAGAGAGAGAAAGGACGAACGCGTTCAACCGCCTCACGGTGGCAACAGTTGCACGGACACCGGTGGACCCCGCGGCCAGAATTGTGAGAAGGGTCCGCCACTCGAAAACTGCGTGGTACTAACTTTACTTTCATCAGTACGTATCTCATGGTTGGAAATGATTTTCAGTCTATTTATCCATGCACTAAGTGCACCAACGACAATAGGCACCCACTCACCGACGCGTAAATGATGAGCGGTCGTTCCGTGGCATTGAGCGAGCCGGTACGGTCCGCGTTGGTCCACACCTCGGTGCGGACCGTGTCCTCAGAGGACGCCGGCGAGGACATCACTTGGACAACGATGCTGCTGTGCGATGGCGCCAAGTTGTCGATCTCGTACTCCCACCGCCCTTGCTGGAGAGGCAGATAAACATGGATTAACCCAGTTGTCCAGTGCCAGCGATGTCAAATCGTTTCATTTTCCACCAGCTTACATAGAAAAACTCTGAGGAATAATGCATAAATACACCGCCCCAGAACTAAATATAATCATCTGTCAATTTCACAGAACGGTCAGCCTTTAACCGGATCATTGTTTTAGTACTCAGCATTTGAAAGCACGCGTATAGCTGCAACACAATAGCTCACAAAAACAGCCAAACCGAAAAAGCTGCCGGAAAGCTGCCGCCGCTGGAAGCCGAGCCGTCTGCCCCTGGCACTCACCACGGGGTCGATCCTAATGTACTGCAGGTGGTTGGTGGTGTCCGGGTACGTGTACACGGGCAGCAGCTGTCCGCCGGGCCGCCGTAGCTTCACGTAGCCGATCTCGCTGCGCGTATTGTACAGCACCGTCAACGTCGTGTTCACGCCCAGCGTGGTGTCGATGAGGAAGCTGCCGCGGACCTGCTGGCCGTTGCCGACGAACCGCTGGTCCTCCACCCTGACCATCAGCTTGCGCTTGTCCGTGATGTACTTGTCGAGCGTGAAGACGTATGCGTCGGCCAGCGAGTGGAATACGCTGATGCTCGTCTGGTCGCCCAGCCACGAGTCCTCGATGATGATGACGTCGCCGCCCGTCTCCGAGGCGACGCGGGAGAGCCCTGGGGTGACGTAGGGGTAGAACACCAACACCAGGCGCACCTGCAACGAAGGAGGGCAGGTGTGAAGTCGAGCCCCCCGATGTGACCACGTTCATAATCATCACGAACACACCGGCGTGGTTGTTACGTGGTGTTGCAGGCCCAGACAACGTCGAGACCTGCTCGATTTCCCGGAGCAAGACCTGTTATGTTAAGCTGTGGGGCGAGTGTAGCAGCTTTCCGACCAGACAGCAACGCTCCTGGTATCGACCCCTCTGATTTACTGCTCTAGATTTCGACTCACTTGCTTGGCCTTCAGCGCAGCGATCATGTAGTCGACGTCTGCGGCTGTCGGTTGGTTGCGGCTGTTCTGCTGGTTGCCGGTGACCCAGATGAGCGTAGAGCCCGGTGCCCGGTTCCCGAGCGACGACAGAGCCCCGTCGACAGCCGTCGTCCAGCTCTTGCTGTCCTCCATCACGTCGTCGGCGATGGGCGGCAGGTTGGCCATCTCTCCACGCCCCATCAGCAGATCCGGCACGGTCGTGAGGTTGCGGTCGGTGCGGTAGTCGGCGCCGAAGTGGCCGATGCCCACCTGGATCCCCGTCGGCACGTCCCAGTTGACGAACTTGCGGATGGAGCTGCTGACGAAGTCCCAGCGCTCCTGCTGCCGCATCGTGGCCGTGCTCTCCAGCAGGAAGAAGAAGCGGTCCGTGGTGGCCTTGACGACCCTGAAGTCGACTGAAGGAGGGGTGGAGTTCCCGCTCGGCGCGTTGTTGCCGTTACGGAAGTCCTCGTGGTCCTGCATCACCTCCCAGACAGACCTCTCCCCACAGAGCAGGTTGTGTTTCGTCGGCGCGGACCTGTCGTGGTCGCCATCATCGCAGAAGTTTTTCACCTGAAACACCAGCCAACAATAGCAGCCACGACTGCCACTAAAACCCGCCTCTGGTAAAAGGTCAACATCCTGCTGCGACAGAGCCATCACCACCGCTGTCGCCCTGCCCCGCGACTCTCATGACAAATCGTCTCCGAGTGCGTGGCAAAAACACGCTCCGGCTGGAAGCATTAGAGGCGATCCGACGATGATACCCGCGCACGACTGCAGAGCCCGCCCCGATATCACGATTCCGGCCGAGTGCGGTCGGCGGCGAAGTGGCCCTATCACCGGCCGCCTCTGAGAGCCGCGGCGCGCGTGCGGGTCGGAAGTCTGTCGCGTGTTTTTGCGGCGGCGCCGGCCGATACGGTGGCGGCGGACTGATGGGTTTCGGCGGAGGAGGCCGCTGATGTGGCCCGTGCGTGATTCATGGTGGACGCGGCTTCTGTCCGGCACTCCCCAGAGCTCTAATGGAAGCCGCCGCCGATTTTGTGGCAGATTATGCGGTGGGGCTAAGTGCTCCTACCGGCAGCATACTTTCTTTCTGCACCAAACTCATTTGTGAATGGCGATCCTATCAAAGAAAATATGTTCGCTCGCATGATTTCAACCTCCATTGTGACTGCGCGGAAAACCCATTGCAGGTACAGGAAACCATCTGTTCACAGAAAACTGGTGCACAGTGTCTTTTCCTCATGCGGCTCTACTTGTTGGCGCCCCGGCGCACCCACAAAACTGCGGCATTGCGTCGGGCGCCCTGCTTTGGGAGTGCCTGAAGGATGACGTACCTGACTAAGCTCCTGCATGTACATGACGGACGAGGTGACACCGTCATTGCTGGCGTTCGTGAACGGCACGAAGGTGCAGGTGTTGGAGCTCTCCTTGCAACCGGGCCTGCAAAACACGCGGCCATCAGGCTGGGATGAGCGCCGAGCTGGCACCTGGGGCCGCTCGTCTTCCCCTGCGGCGCCGGCTGCCGCGCCGACCGGCGCTGACTCGGCGGCGGCGATGAGTCGGGCTGAGGCGTCAGCGGCGCCGGACACGGGTCATTCGAGCCAGGCGGGGGCGCGGCGGCGAGCACAGCGACCGGCACAGACAGGACCCGTCCCCCTGACGGGCCCGGTCAGCGGGTCAGACGTCAGCACTGTCAGCACTCCGCGCCACCCTGTGGTCGGGTCAGAGGCCTGGAACACCACCCTGGCCGGGGCGTGAACACCGGTCGGGACGGCACTGCTCCCGGAGCCACGGCGGGGTTCCCACGGCGTCCCGGCAGCTCCCACGGTAATGGCGGGTCACGCACCGGGCGGCAGACAAGTCGGCCAGATCTACTTTGCGCCGGACGGCTTTGTCAGCCGTGTGCACGCATTCGCGGGGATCTTGTGCGGCGTGCACCGCACAGCTGGCCGTGTCCAGCAGTGGCGACTTTTCTTAGCGGGAGCTTCCGCCGACTCGATGTGACGCCATTGTTTGAACTGGTTTAGAGCGACGGCGAGACGGACCCGGCGACCCGGTGGTTTTACGCCGAATCTGCTGCATCATGCCCAAGGTTGCAGCGTTTAAGTCTGAACGCTCTGGGTCAGCCCAAACGGCACAGGTGAAACGTGACACTGTAGACATGTCGCTTGTACTCACGGTGAGACGGAGCCGGCGACGGCGCCGTCCGAGCAGCCGGTAGGTCGCCACTGGCCGGCCGTCTGCTGGTAGAACGACGGGTACAGAGGGTCCTCCGCGTATCCGAGCTCCTCGAACACGCCCCACCGGTACTTGGCCCACTCATGCACGAGCGCAGCGGCTGCCGGTCGGAACAGACGGCGGGTCAGAGCTCCCGAGCGATACCTGACCCACTCATGCTGGCGCTAGCGTCTTGGGCGCACCCAAAAACGCTGACGCCGCCTGGCAGCGCAGCAAGAACATTTATCAGCGTAGAACAACAGGCCCGACGTCGGCGGGATAGATGGGCCAGCCGTGTCGGGGACGGGGGCAGCCGCGTCGACAGGGCACCGGCATTGTCTCGACTCAGCTGATGCGGCGCCTAACTCGTGCTCGGAATGCAGCCAATGCGCGGCGCGAGCGTTAACGCGTTCTCTGCAGCGCCTTAATGATACGCTATCACAGCGGATGGGCGGCTGGCGAACGCTGGGCCAGGCTGGCTGTTTTGCAGCGGCTGAAGGCGATCTCGCGCGCTCGGACGCACGGATGATCTGCAAATCATCCGTCAGAATTCAGGTCACACTGTGGAATTTCATCAGGGGATGCGGGTATGGGATCGTGCTGCTTTTTGGTATACGCATTTACCTTTGCTTCCATCGGACGTGCCTTCGCTGACGTAGTCGGCAGCAAACTGGACGAAGGCGCCGGGCTGGCCGCACTGGCCAGACTGGTGGGTCCAGGGGGCCGAGCCGTACACGGGGTGAGTGGTGCTGACCCGCAGGTCAGAGGTCAGGTAGCTCTCGGTGGTGGCCTGACCCGGCGGGTTGGCGCCCGTGCAGCTTCGGGGCCACGAACTGGGCACCACTACCGTCACGTCACTGAAGAACGCCCGCTGATTGGTCGCCGTGTACAGGTAGGACGAGGCGTCGTTGATCAGCGTCTGAAAAAAGACACGATGGAGTGAGCTTTGTTTGCGAGCTTACTACTCGACCCTCGTTGAACACTGTGTCACCATATCCTCCAGCTAGCCGCACCAGCCGGCGCAGCTTCCACGCGCGTGACCTGGCACAACCACAGGGAAACCCTACACGCCTCCACTACTGGCGCAGCGCCGGCGCGGCAGCGAAGGTGGGTCGCCACCCACACCTGCGAGGCGGCCCCAGCCCACTGGAGAAACGAATACTCCCGCCATGTATCTGAACCGTGTGTTCAATGCCACGAACGGAATCAACAACAGGCGCAGCCAGGGTCACGCGACCTCGACCCCGCCTCCGACGAACAGAGGGCGCCCCACGCAGGGCTGTTGGCGAACGCGGTCCTTTCGAGCCGGCTGCGGCAAGCGCGCATCAGTGCGTTCTGGCCGCGCACCCTTCGGCGACGGGCGGCGCGCGAGGGCTGCACTTTCGCGGCCTGATGGGCGCCGGCGCCGGACAGTCCTCCGGTAACTGGGCCGCGCGGAGGTCCGGGGAGATGGCGGCTGATGGATCGGGGGCCAGAGGGAGGAAGAGGAGAGAGGGCGAGGGAGAACAAAAGAGGGATAGAGGTATATAAATGGCGGAGAGTGTGAGGAAGTAGGATGAAACCTATTTGTCCGTGCCCCAAAGGGAATGGAATATATCCAGCTAATATGAGCAAACAGGAGAGACCAAAACAAAACAGCGGAGCACAAAACACGAGCGTGGCATCCAAACCACAAAGCCGAGTGGGATGAGGACGGCAGACAACACTTCCAGGCGCACAATCGGGAGCAGGACACCTGCAGACAGGCCGCCAGCGCCGGCCGGGCTAATCCTTCCGCCGCGCGCCGGCCGTTTGTCCTCTGGAGCCGTGACGCCGTGTGAATCTGGCGGCCGAAACAGACCCGCGGCCGGCCCTAATCCGGCATGGCGCGGCCTAAACCAACACGCCATTGAGCGCCGCCGGCTGCCGCGTCCTCGGCTATTTCGGGCCATTGTGTCGCCGATCAGGCGCGCATAATCCGCACCTCCCGCCGCGCCGGACATCAATAGGTGTGACGAGGAGGGGCGAGCCCCCGGCAGGAACGTCCGCCGACTGCCGACGCCGGCCCTCAATAGTGCCATCAGGCCGGAGAGGGCACAGAAAGGCGGCGGCAGGGGGTCGACAGGCGCACTGCGCCCTCTATGGTCGCAGTGTGCCCCTGCCGACGACGCAAAGAACACGGAGGGGCGCGACGGACGAGCGGGCGCCGCCGGGCCTGGCCGGCCGTGTGATGGATGGACCGGCGTGAGGCGCGCCCTGACCCAGGTGCCGCACTGTTTACCCCGGCAGCAGTGGGCGGGTGCGGAGGCCGAGTGGCGAGGCGCCAGGCAGAGTCGGGCCGCCCCGGTCGGCTGGCACCCGCTCCCGGCTCCCGGCCACAGCCGGCTGTGATGGATGACCCAGGAGGACGCTCCATTGTGGTGCGAAGTTTTCCGGCAGGACTCAACGAGTGCGCTAAAACTGCACTGCGCTGCACATGTACAGTCGCGGCCGGCTGGTTTACGCGACTTTCCTTTGATCAGTTTTCCGCCGGGATTCAACAAACGACCCGCCGCGGAAGCCGCGCGGGCGGGGCGCGCCGCATGGCGGCGCGTATCTGGGGCGCCGTGCAGACGCCGGGGCGTTCGAGTCATCCTGCGCGCGCTCTCTCTGGCCGCCGCTCCGTCCGATGACCGACACATCGCGGCCGACCTCCGGCCCGTGACGTCACGGCGGCACAATCGGCCGTGATTCGACGCCGTGACTGCTGGCTGCACAAAGCGGGCTGCGCCGCCGCCGCCCGAGCGCAGAACAACAGTTAGCCGCGTTAGCGCCGCTGCGACGGGGCCCGAGCGGAGACGAGCCGACGAAGCGCTGACGGAGAGGCGGCGAGGCGCCCCCGCTGTCCGCCGCTGCCGCCGCCGCCGCCGCTGCCGCCGCTGCCGCCGCCACCGCCGCCGCTGCTGACGGTTCTCAATTTTCTCGCTCGTTTGCAGGCATCTCCCGCGGCATTTTTGACGAAAACAATTCATCCGCTGGTAAACGATGCGGAGATGATTGCCTGTGGAGTAAGTCGGCGCCGAAGCGAGCGCCGCCGCCGAACAGCAGGTGCCTCAAACGGTGTTTGTTATCGCCGCACCAGCTTGCATGGAAAAACTATCCCTCACGCGCTGGCTCTCCACATGTGCCGACTGGTGGCGTCCAGGCCGGACGTGTGCTCAGCTTGGCACACGATTTCGCCGCGCTTCAGGCCGGCTATACGAGAATGAGAGGCGCGTGGAACACCTGGCGACGGCTTCATTTCCGTTGAGCTCTGCCCGCTTTCGCCGCCAGCAACGCGGGCAAACGACCTCCAAACAAAACAGAATGGGGACGGAGAATGACTCCAGAGCCAGGGCAAAGAAGACCCGGACACTGCCTTAATGTGCCGGGAGAGGGCGTGACCGGGGACGTGATGTGACCATTTACCATTCAGCCCGCAGTCATACTGCACGCCGCTGAAAAAGCTTTCAGTGCACGCCCAAAGAAAAAGCTTAAGCGCGCGCCGGCGCCACAAAAACCCGGTCATCGGAGTGACAAAAACCCGAGTCACGAGCTGATGACTGGCCGGCGCACGCGCCTCGTCCGCCGGTCCGCCCCCGGAGGCCTTTACAGCAGGGCCAAGCGGCACGCCCGGCCGCCGCCGCCGCCGCCGCCGCCGCCGCCGCGCATCCCGGGTACACTGACCCACAAACGCCCAGGGTGGCGGCTCACTTTAATTACCGGCGTAAACGTGCCCACTGAAAGGTGGCCGGTGCCGCGTGTAGCGCCGCTCTCCGGCCGCGCCCGACGCCGCAGCCCGTTCGGAATAGATGAATATCGCTCTAACGGTGATTGAGGAGTTACGGCGCGGCTGTGCGCCATCTGCTCGTTAATTCTCGTGATCTGGGCCATCTTGCATGCATAAGCGTTCGACTGCGTCGCGCCCAGCCGCCGGGAGTGGGTTCGGCTCGTTCGGGAGCGCGCGTGGCGGGCCGTAACGGACGCGAGCGGGCCGGTCGGCTCGTAACGGGTCAGAAGCGGCGCGCGCACAGCTAGAGGTGACAGGAAATAAGCCGGCCCAGTGGGCCACGGCAACACGGAGAGGGCGTGGCGTGGGCGCACGGGCGGCTAAAAACGCGCGCTCCGCGCACATAAAAACGATAACTTCTGCTCCGGCTGCCATCCAGCTGCCGGAGGGAGCGTGGCTCGGGTCGACGCGGGCGGCGAGCGCCGATGCCATGAAGGCGCCGTGACCCGGCGCAATCAGGTCACGACACGGCGCCGCCGCCAGGGGCGAAACACCGTGCGGTCGGAGGGTCGACCCCGGAGCCGCCGGCGGACGCACCGAGACTGCGGCGGCACGGGAAATGCCACGGCCCGACCACCGGCCCGGTGAGAAATATGGCTTCCACGGTCACGCCGGCCCTGCAGACGGGTGTTTAATAGGAACACGGCGGTAGGCGCCTTCATCGTGCAGAGCGTATGCTATTGAGCCGGGGCGCTGCGCCGATCTATCGGAATTCCGACTGTGCAGCCGAGATGGGGCGTGAGATAAGACTCGTGCACGTACGAACGAGGGGTTAACTGCTGGGGAGGAGTGCGAGGCAAACATGGTGCAAGCTGCCGCGCGCACCAGCTCATCAAAACAAGCTTGCATGCCACCACAGTGGGGCATCTCCCAAAGCAAAACCCTTCTTACTTACGCAGCGGCCTTAACCTTTATCCCTCCGAGTCGTAGCCCGCGCGACCTCCGGAAGCGTCACACGCCTTTCAACTCTGACGTCCTCCGACAGCCCTCCCCGGCGGCCGGGCGCACGCGGCCCTCACCCGGCGCTCCCCCAGCTCGTCATCATCTGACGTCAGCTAGGGACGGCTGTGTTTGCCGCCGGCGCCGCCGCCCGACCGCGGGCGACGACAGCCGTCACCGCCGGCCCGCCGCCGGCCCGCCGTGTTTACCGGTGTCCCGCCGGCGCCGCCGCCGCCGCGGCCGCCGGCTTTCAACAGGTGGTGTCTGTGTACTCGGCGGCGGCGGCGGCGGTCACTCTGATCAGCTGGCGGTCGGCAAACAGAGCCGCGCTGGACACGCGGTGGAAGGTCGGATCCGAGTCTGAGCAGGTCGGATCTGGATCTGAGGAGGCGTTGGTGACCGGCGCGCTTGGGCGCAGACGGTGCCGGGCCGGAGCCCGGTGGAAGGTCGGATCTGAGTCCGAGCAGGTCGGATCTGGATCTGAGGGGGCGGTGGTGGCCGGCGCGCTTGGGCGCAGACAGTGCCGGGCTGGAGCCCAGACAAGGATGGAGTCTGAAGCAGTTTAGCGATGTAGATCAGAGGCTGGTCAGAGATGGAAACACTGGACTCAGCAATAAACAGTGGAGTGGTCAGGGATTTGAACAGATAGGACTCGGCGGAGGCGTTGGAAGTGGTTCGCCCAAAGAAGACGGTCCGAGAGGCGGGTCTGACGTGACAGTGAAACCGGAACGGAAGTTAGACAAAAATGAAAAGCAAACGAGATCCGGGCTCATACTACAATTCCGGGTATTTCTGATTTCAACGTAGGCCAGCGTTGCCAGCAGTAATGAAGGGGCCGCAGGGGTCACGCAATAAAACCAAACAAAAGTAAACGTGAACAGCACGTTTCTAATAACGCAACATATAACCGACATCGCCTTGATGAAAGCTTGGAAATGGCCGGAAATCAACACGGGCATTCAAACAACATTATGCCAATTTGTTTTGAGATATAGCTGCCGCGATAGAGGGGTTTTGCGGTCAACATGTTTTTCCATTCATCCTGGGCATTGTAACAACGCAGATTAGTAAACTGTGCTTGGAAGCAATATGCTTGACTACGTCTCCCGCATATAGGAAATACCCATGACTTTATGTAAGGGAGGATCACCAAGTGCTGCGGGGCGGGGCAGGCGGCTCAGTGGGAAGATCGC